CGTGTGCCGCTGCGGGGGCCAGGGGCTGGCGCGAGGGCCTCAGCCCGGCAGGTGTTCCCGCGACACCCAGGAGGAGAAACACTCACAGCCTCGTTGTTTAAACCAACGCCGTGAATCTCCAAAATAATAAAGGATCTAAAAAAGGAAAGCCAGTGCCAGACGCACCCCTAAATCACTCCTAGGTGGAGAGTGAATAAAGTCGCGTGACAGCCGGGTTTACAGCCGCCGGCCGGCTGTGGTCCCGGGAGGAGTCGGCGGAGAATTCACAGCCCTAAATGTTTTTATTACTGAGCAAGAGAGGCTGAAAATAAATGAACTAAACATTGGACACAAGGAGGGAAAAACAGAACAATAAAGTAAATCCACGGGAGGCAGGAGGGGGAGATAAAGGCGGATTAATGAATTGGAAACAAGAGAAATGGGAGCGCTCATCAGTAAATCCAAGCGCTGGTTCCTCAAAATAAAGAAATAAAATAAACATCGCTCAGGCCGGCTGGTGGGGGAGCCGGCCCCCGGGGCGGCCGCAGGCGGGGGCTGCAGAGACAAGTTCATGCTGGGGGTGCGCTTGATGAAGCTGACAATCTTCAGGGCCCCCTGAATTCCCAAAATCAACTTACAGAGGCTACAGAAGCCAGCCCAGGGCGCAGGAAACTGAACCGGGCTGTGACGGGTGCGCCCCAGGCACGGGCGGGGCTGCAGGGCCGAGGGGAGGGCCTGGGGGGGACCCCAGCTCTGGGCACTCCGCGGGAGGCCACAAGCGCTCCTCAGTGTCCGCGGCCTCCCTGGCGAAGAGGCCCGCCCTTGCTTCGGGTCACGGCTCCCTCCAGCAGCCTGGCTCCGCAGGCGTGTGGCGGCCCTGGCCTTCGCACACACCCTGCCCCTCAGGGCCCCGCGCCCCCCAGGGCTGCACCTCTGCTGCTCCCCGACGAGCTCCCACTCCCCTCTCACTTGTTCTTTGCTACCACAACCATTCAGGCCCATAAATTCCCCATTCGAGCGTCAGGGGCACCGGGCGGGTCTCAGCGCCAAGGCTCCCGCCCAGTGCTGGGCTGGCTGACTCCGGGTGGCCGCTGCCCCCAGTGAAATGCACCTTTTTACTCTCTAAACAGACGAGGTTTTGTTTGCTGCCTTAACTGCGCTGCAGAGGAAACGCCGCCTGGCGTCAGCTCCTTGGCAGCCGTCCTGGCCTCTGCTGGGCGATGCCCACCTGGGCCGAGCCCCGCCCGCGGTGCCTCCCGCCATGCGCCACCCTCCCTGGCCACCAGCGGGGCCTGCGCTGTGGAGCGTCGCCGTGGCCGCCTGGACGCCTGCCCTCGGCCTGCACCGGCCCACCCGTGCCGGTCTCCTGGCGGAAAGCAAAGCTCAAAGCCGCTGAGGCCTGTCCCTGCTGACCCTCCCGCCCCACGGGGCGATGTTCTCCCACCTGCACCCCCGTCACCTGGGCTTCAGGAAGGGGTGGTGTGTGGGGGCGCAGCTCCAGAAAGCGACCAGCTCACTGCCCACCCCCACCTGCAGGAGGGCAGCTCTCCGTGGACAGGCTCCGAGACTGGGAGACTGCCGGCCGCTAGCCAGGGCCTGACCGGCAGTGCGACCACAGGGCATTTGCAGAGGGGGGTGGAGACACGCCCCCGAGGCCCAATGGCCTGCTGTCCTCTTCTCCAGCCACAACAGCCTTGGAGATACGATGCGGAGACTCCTCTGTGCACGGGGCCGGGGAGCCGCCCTGGCAGCTGTCACCCCTGCAGCCCCTCTCAAAGTGGCGGGGCTCCGAGGGCTGGCTCGCCCTCCAGTGGCTGTCTCATGGAGCAGCATGGGAGGCCAGGTTCTGGGGCCCCGGACACGGCCTCCGTAGAGGGCCCCACCCCCAGCTGCAGCTGCCTGCCGCAGGCCACCTGTCCTTCAATTGCGGAACAAAACCAAGGAACCGGAAGCACCTGTCAGCACGCGCCTGTGAAGCTCGTCAAAGCCTGGTCCTCTGGCCAGATCCCGCAGGCCCCGCCCCACCCCAGGCCGGAGTCGCACCTTCCCCACCTCCACCTGCCACTTCCAGCTCTGGGCTCTGACACATTGGGGACCAGAAGGGGCTGGAGCCCAGGGTGAGTGGGCCTGGGGGGGGGGCCTCTGGACGTTTCCCAAGCGTCTTTTCAGATGCAGATTTGCTGTTGAGACACCGCTTGCGCCTTGCGAAAATGTCTGTGCAATTGTTTGTAGTCACTTGCTAGGGTTTTTGTGGACATCTCCTGTGTAGCACCTTTACCAGCAGAAGCCCGCGGGACCCCGTGACCAGACCAGAGACGGCGTCTGTCATGATCTGGCGCAGGGGCCTCGCCGTGCCAGGGCGGCTCCCGCCAGTGGCTCTGCTGTGCAGCTGGGGCGGGGGCTGCCCGCCGTGGGAGACCCGTCTATCGCCTAGAGCAACAGAGACCAGCAACTTGAGGCAGGGTTGTCAAGCACCAGCATGAGTAGCCCTGGAGGCCACAGGCAGGGGAATGGACGGAGCTGGGGCCAGTCCGGTAGCCCTTGGTGACTGAGACACCAGCAGCCCAGGGCACCAGGGGCTGCACAGCTGTGGTCACCCAGGACGAGTGTCACTCCACTGACCCTTGCTGGCCCCACCCTGCGGCGGCAGACGTGCCGGCCAGTGTCCAGAGACCCACTTCCTGCTGCTTCGGGGCACCGCAGGACTCGGCTGCCGAGATGCTGCGGAACCAGAGTGGGCATGTCGCCCTGGCGGCCCCCCACCCAGCCTCCTGGGCCTGGCTGCAGCCGCCCAGGAGACCGCATGGGCAGAGCTGCGAAGGGACCTGCCCTGGTGCCCAAGGCCAACTGCCTCTCACGTCAGGCCCTGGCCCCTCAGCCCAGCAGCTGCAATCTTGGAGTCCTTTCAGAGCTCCAGTGAAAACCTCACTGGGCTTTGCTTCAGACGAGCGCCGCGAGCGTCTCAGGACGGGCCCTCCCACCGGCACCCGCTGGAGCCCCGACCTCAGCTGCAGAGGCCAAGGCCAGACCCCCGGGCCGCCCCTGCCTCCAGCTTCCACTCTGCCTTTGGGCTTCGCAGCTGGAAGCCCACTGCGGAGGGCCTCTGCTGGCGCCAGGGATGCCATGTCTCCCTGGCCCCTAGAAGCCGCAGGCACCGCCCAGGCCGGGTCTTACCACCAGGAGCTACTCCAAGCCCCACAGCTGCCCTCCGGGTCAACACTCGCCCACCCCTGCAGAGTCTGGCCAGTACTATCTCCCACCGCCCCGGCCAGGTGGCGTGACACAGCAGGGCGCCTTCCTCCAGGGGCCGCACCACAGGCCGGGGGGGGGCGCCATGGACCATGGCTGGGGCCCCAGGTCCGCCTGCTCACAAACACCAACTGGCGTCCAGCCCAAGTCCCTGCTGCCCCCAGCACACTCCTGCAGCCCGGGCCTCCAGCCTGACCAGAGCAGTGGGGGGCTCCCGCAGCAGGGCCCCCCAGACCTGTCAAGCGCGGGCATCATCCCTGGGCCAGCCTAGCTAGGGAGGTGATGAACGAGCGGAGGAAGGTGCCTTTGTTTTTGCGACGTCCACCCACACAAAAGCAACAGGAACGTTAACAGTCTTAACAAGTTTACGAGGGAACACGAGAGGAAGTCTGTACACGTTACCATTTACAGCGACTTTACACAGGGAGCCCTGCGGCGGTCGGGCCCGGGCCGCCCGGCCCAGAGTCTGGCGAGGACCGGCACCGCCTGCGAGGGCTGACCCCAGACCCACGAGCAGCTCCGCTCGGTCTTCTCACGGCTCGGCTCGGCGCTCTGGAGGAGGGAGGACCCGGCTGAAGTGACGGGGTCAAAACCCAAACCTCCACACGGCACCGAAGGTGCCTGAGCCCGACGGCTCCAGACAGCAGCAACGGAAGTGGAGCCGTGGAGCCCGAAAGGCCCACGCACCCGGTGAAGGGCCAGCTCGGAGGACGGCTGGGGCTGAGCGAGGAAGTTTGCTGCAAGGCTGCGTCAAGTCCCATTTTCCGTGGATGAAGGTCCAGCTTACAGTTTAAAACATGCACGTACACGCACTATACATAAAGTTAATGTTTAAGAAAGTAAGGCAAGAGTAGGATCAGAGCGCACTGTCAACAGCGGCCGGCCCGCGCCGGCGCCGGCCAGCAGGCGGAGGCCGCACCTGCCTCCCGCTGCCTCCAGGGGGCGCCGTTAGCTCGCAGCCGCGAAGTCTCTCAGGGGCTCCATTAAGCAGGCCTCCAGGTCAAACTCCTCGGCGGCGCCTACCGGGCAGTCCACGTGCCTGACTTTGGTGGGCGTGCCGGAGAACACGTCCTGGAAGACAGGCCGAGGGGCTGAGTTCTCACCACCCCCACCTCTGGCCTGCACCCAGTCCTTCTATGCATAAATCAACCTTCTGCACCACAATCAACCTTCAGCCTCAGTCCCGGGTGCGAGTGGGCACGCTCCCACGCCCACCCGCCGCAGCACCCCCCGAGGCCGCGCCAGGGAACAGCACTTACGAAGTTGTCCTGAGAGCTCGTCCGGGACTCTGAGCTGCTTTCTGCGGATTCGGTCTCCATCTCCCCCAGGTCCACAGGGTGTCTGCAGAGAAACCACGCGGGCCTGTCGGTCACCCTGCGCCGCGCACGCCACTGGCAAGCTGTCCAGTCCTACTGGCTACACACAACCGTCACCAGCCCCACACTGCACTCGGGGACAGCCAGGCAAGCCCGCTGCCCTCGCTCCCAGACGCACACTGGCGGTCGCGAGTTCCTGAGCCACAGTCACCGGCAGCCGGGGCACAGAGCGCCCGCGGGAAGCCCCACTCTGGTGGTGGGGGCGCCGCTGAGCCGTAAGGCCACACCCCGGCGGTTCCCCACTGGGGGTGCCGAGCCCGCGCCAGGCGAGTCAGGGAACAGCTCCACGGCAACTGCCCTGCACATTTCCCAGCGCAGAGCAGATGGCTGCTGAGGGAAGGCGCGCCTGAGGGGAGGACGCCGGCAACAAGGCTGGACAAGCACAGGACTCTGGCCCAGCGGCAGCCGCTGGCCCGAGGTGAAAAGTTTCTAGTCGACACGAGCCTGAAAGCCAACAGGGACGAGCTCAACGGCGCCCCAGGCTGCCACTGCCCCGCTGTGACCGACAAGCACGTTCCAGGCGGCATGAACACACACACCGCGGGAGCTAGGGCTACGCGGCCGGACCGTTTCTCTAGCCAGAGAGCAACCACCACCCGAGGCAGAAAGTCCCTCCTCCGACCCCTCCAGAGCCACCAGCCCAGGGGTGGCCACCGGCTCCGTGCCCCGGGGCGCCCACGCCCGGAACTGCCGCAGGGCGCAGACGCACATTTCTTGCAGGTCGCAGCCCTCTTCGGCGGGAGGGTCCCAGAAGTGCAGAGCCACTTTCCAGAGTTTGATCTGCTGGTCCCACGATCGCCGGCTATACTTCTTAAATTTGTTGGGGGTCTTGGGGTGAACGCCGGGCTGTCGAAGGTGCCTGCAGGAAGAGAAGGTGGGATCCCGCACCTGCTACCGACACCCGCACGCCAGCTGCAACAGCACCCAGACGCCGAGCCGGCCGCAGCACAGCAGCCGGCAGACGCCGCACGCGCCAAGGCAGAGACGCGGCGCTCGCGGCTCCGAGCGCCCCTGGCCAGACCCCGCGCACGCGCTCTTCCCGCCGGCACTTGCCGACACTCGAGCGCACTCTCCTGAGGAAGCAAATCGAGGACCCTGAGCGAAGCTCCTAAGCCTACGCGCCCGTTCTCACACCAGGCCTGAAAGTCACGAGACCCGCTCTTAGCGGGGAGGACGAGGACGGCTCCCCGTCAGATCGCCCGAGACTGCCCCACGCGGCGCCGCAGGCCCTACCTCGGGACCTCCTTGATGTAGCGGTCGTAGGCGATGGTGTTCTTTCCGTAGTTGATCTGTTTCTGTCTCCTCATCAGCACGCTTTCGTCTGTCTCCACATCAGCTGGCGCCATAGACGCGGACTCCTTCGAATCAGAGCTGAAGGGGAAATCGTCAACAAGCCTCGTGACTGAAACGACGTGGGGCCCTCCCGGGGGGGCGCTGTCCGCGGCCACTGCAGCCCGAGGGGGTCGCAGCCAGGGGGTGACCCTAGGGCGCAGCTGACCCTCCTGTCTCCCCGCTGCCCCCTCAGCGGTGGGTGTCAGTAGCTCGGCTGTTCCGCTCCCCACTCTCTGGGGAATCCTCTCGCCCCCCCTCCCCAGCCTCCGGTCTGTACCCCAGCTCGTGCCCATAAATAAACCTTAAAAAAAAAAAAACTGACACGGCACCTACCTCCCTGAGGATGATTTTCTCTCTCTTCCAAAGTCATTTATCAGGAGTTTTCTTTTATATCTGAGAGCAAAATAAATGGTTTTCGAAAGACACCAAAGTCACTACTAGCGCTGCCAGGAAGCCGTCTCTAGGCGACGGGTCAGGGCCGCAGTCGCTGCTTCTTTCCCACCCCCACCCATCTGCTGCGGCAGGTCGCGGCCAGTGGCCAACGTGTCCGGGTTGAACCCAGTGCCTCCCCGCCCACGACTGACCCCAGAAGCAGAGGGCTCCCGGCGTCCTTCCACACAGACGCTACCCTGAGCCCACACCCCCGGAGCCCGGAGCCCTGGGTGAAACGGGGGGAGCGCCAAGGCTGTTCCCACCCGCAGCCGCCCTGCCCCGCGCGGGGTAACCGCACGGCGCTCAGGGTCAGCTGCCCGCCCCACCGTCCTTCCCTAAGACTCGGCGTCCACGGGGCCTTCGAGCTGCTCCCGACCCACGCGGTCAGCGCCAGGCACCCGTGCAGCCCTCTGCCCGACTTTGCTCCGGGCCTCGAGGCCAAGCCCACGCTGGCTGCCCCTGGGCGGTCCCTCCACTCAGCAGCGAGGGTCCTCCCAACCCTGGACGCGCGAACGTCCGCAACCAACTCCTGCTGCTGCTTTTGCCTTTACTTCCCTGGCCGCAGAGACCCGGTCTCCGGAGAGCTCTTTATCAGCGTGAACCCCAACACTGCCGTCGTCTCCACACGTCTCTACGCTGCACTTCCACCCACGTGGGTTTACCCCCGTGCGCTCAGCCAGGGACCGGCCTCCGTCTTCTGGGGGTGGCTACCCAGCTCCCCCAGCCTCACGTGGCTGCCGCTGTGGAACGGGAGCTGATACCCACACGCGTTCCCCTCTGGGCTTTCTCACTGGCCCTTCCATGCACGTTTGTGCCAACTCCACAGCTTTTACTGCTGTTGCTTTACAGTGATGTGTCACGAGGCAGCCACACCATTTCTTTTTCCTCAGAGGCAGCTTTTGCCACTCGAGACCTCCTGAGGCCTCCTACCAATCTCACTTGCCCTGCACTCTGCGGCTGCCGCATTCCCATCACGGGCAGGACCGCCGCTCCGCCCGCATCAGCCTCCTCGCCGCAGTGCGGCCTGGCTGCCAGGCGGCAAGGAGCCCTGCGCGTCAGGAAGCGCGCTACTCGGAGCAGCCTACGAGGGCGACAACCGCGTCCTTCAGCGAGTCCGTGTGTCGTCTCTCCCAGGACCCCGGGGACAATGACAGCCTTCCGTGAAACCAGGGCGTCCAGTCTTCAGGCTGCCGTCTGTGGTGGGCATCCCCCCCTCGGCCCCCCCGGGGAGGCAAGGCAGACCTCCAGGGCGCAACACCTGCACCTGGGGAACGGCTTCAGCTCCCCACAGAATGGGGTCACGACAAAGGTCCACGCGTGCCCCACACAAAAGCTGCCTGATCAAAGTAGGACCGTGGCCAGAGAAAACAGGCTGTGACACAAGTGGCGCAAAAGAGCCGTGACCTGGAGACGCCTCCAGGGTGCCCACAGAGCACTTCCAGGATTGTTAAAGGCCCGTAGTGAGCCTCAGGAGAGGCACAGACACAGCACTGCAACTCAACAGGCAAAGGCTCTACAGAAGCAAAGGCTCATCAGAACACGGGTGAGCTCCAAGGCCACTGACCCTGCGCAGGCACAGCCCCCCTCGCCGTGCTGAGGCTGACAAGAGCTGGTCCTGCCTCCCCATGGCCCTGAGGCAGCTGCAAACGTCACCCCCCAGCCCCACTGCCCCAGCCCCACTGACGGGTTTTGCCTCAGGTGTTTAAAAACCTGTTTACGCATATAGAACTGGGGCACAGGCCAGAGGTGGGCTGGCCGTGAGAGGACTCCCGAGGCAGAGCGGGGAGCAGGAGCAGGTCGTGAAGTACACAGGAGAGGTCTGCTGTGCCCTGGGGGTCAGCTAGCAACCAGCCAGCTTCGGGTGCTGGGCTGTAAACCAGCTGCCTCAGACGTCAGCATGAGTCTGAGCCCCACCCGGGAGCGACCCCCAGGGCGCACAGCAGGCCCTCCCGTCTCCCCACGCCCCTCAGCAGTGGGTTTCAGGGGATCCGCCCCTTCTGCTCCCCACTCTGGTGAAGCCTCTCACCGCCCCTGCCCCTCGGGCCTGCACCCCAGTTCTGTGTGCACAATATTAAGAAACAAATAAAAAAACAGCAACAGAACTTCAAAACTAGCTCCCGAGAAACGCTGACATCGCTAAGGCCCAGAACTTGGCCAACACGCCAGGCTTCCGCGCACCTTGCAATCTCTTTGTTAACTCTGCTTCGCATCTCGTCTTCTTCAACTGCACTGGCCCAGTCTGCGCAGCGCGCGCCGGGCTTCGGGCCTTCGGGAGTGGTAAAGCTGCGGGAAGACGAAAACAGGCTGGAGCCGCGCGGCCTTCCGGTTTCAGTTCTACACGGGCTGGGCAAAGGTCGCGGAGAGCGCCGGGTGGGCCCGGGGCTTGGCTCGGTCTCTGCGGGCCGCACCTGTGCTGCAGCCGACGCCCGGCCGCGCCGGCACCCCGGCGGCCCCCGTGCTCCTGGGGAGACCCCGGGCGCACC